ACTTGTGAGGTTATTGTTTCTAAAATATCTTCCAACTAAGTATCCATTTTATAAAGCACTGCCTGTAACAGTCACAGGCAGAGGTTCTGTCAAGACTGATGCCAGTTATGCAACCAATTTGAAGTCTGAAACTTTTCTAGTAGGAATTTTTTCTTCTCCCTTTTGTAGGAGCAAAGCACAGTTGTGCAGGTGTGGGCATAAGGAGTGGTACCTCTCACTGGCAGCTGCTCTTTGTCTAAGGAGATGAATATGATGCATTGTAAGGATAATTTTAACAAACTGCTTCTTATAAGTACAATATCCAGAATAACAGATCAGATACTGCAGGCTTTTTGCGTGGCCTTTGAATGAAAGAAATGTTTCAATAACTGAAATCAGTACTGTAAGACTTGAATCTTCCTGAGTGATGTATTTTCTTCATTCTGACCTAAAGCAGAAGGGTGTGGGGAATGTGAAATATCATTTCACTGCAGATGTGAATAAAAACCTTCTCCATTCTAAAACTGTATTTTTCTCTATTTTTCATTGGATATCTAAGGTAGGTTTTAGCAAGCCAAAACATTATTGATGTTTATTATTTCACAGCAGTTTTCTTTTTATTAGATATCTTTCATAGGTCTTATCTGCATTCTCTAACTGTTATCACCTGGAAAATTCTTCAATGTTGGGAACCATCTGTTCTCAAGTCAAGTGGATAACCTGACTCTTCAGATGTGTCAAGATGTTCTCTGGTCTTGAGCTCTGTCTTTGCTTGAGGGTACAGCATTCCTAGGTAGTTGTTGCTCTTGAGACTGGCTGGGCATCACTCTGCTTGTGAGAGTTTTGTTGTGGGTGAGACACAACAACAGTTTTGTTGTGGGCTTTAGACAAAGTTTATTGGAGAAACCCTCCCATTGAGTCACGAGGTGCAGAAAGGGCCCCCTTGCTTTCTAAACTCCTTCTCGGAGAGGAGCGTACAAGCATTGCATTCCCTCTGCTGGAGACAATGACCAATCATGCTGGAGTTCAAGTATCAGGCCTGCTTGAGTACTGCCACTAGATCCAGAATCTTGCTTGCAAGGTCAGCTGGCTAAAGACCCTGTAGAATCATAGAATCATTTACTCTGGAAAAGACCTTTAAGATCACATAGTCCAACCATTAGCATAACCCTTCCAAGTTCACCACTAAACTATGTCCCTAAGCACCATGTCTACATGTCTTTCAAATATCTCCAGGGACGGTGACTCAACCACTTCCCTGGCAGCCTGTTGCAGTGCTTGACAACTCTTTCAGTGGAAATTTTTCCCTAATATCCAATCTAAACCTGCCCTGAAGCAACTTGAGGCCATTTCATCTTATCTTGTTTGTTACTTGGGACAAAAGACTGACCCCCACCTTGATAGAGCTTCCTTTCAGGTAGTTGTACAGAGTGATAAGGCGTATTGTGTCCTCGTCATCCCCCCCTCCCCTGCTGGCCACACTATGTCTGATGCAAGCCAGGATGCCATTGGCCTTCTTGGCTGCCTGGGCATACTGCCAGCCACACATAAAGAAAAGTCCAGATAAAGTGTACAAATAGTTAGGACATCATGGACATTGTTAATAGGCATTTTTAAATACTCCGTAGACCTACTAGCTGCCTTCCTTTGCTGCACTGTGTACAAGTGCTTTCCAAAAAAAAAAAGATAAAGGGAAGGAAGCAAGCTTCTAGTTGTAGGTAAATATCTAAAGTGTCAGAGTGGTATAGGATGATAATCATTGTCACTGGAGAGAGCTGGGCACTTCCAAAGACCAGTTCACTCCTTATGTGCTACCAGAGAACATTTTGGCCTGTTTCTTTTCATTAATTGGGGATGATGACCCAGATGCAGTTACAAACTCATACTCAATACTTACCTCTGTCTTCCCATATGTTTGTAGGAAAAGCCCACATCTGTAATTAAAAAAAGTAGTAACAGTGAGTGCGGATAAAGAACAAGCACTGAAGACCTCTTGAGGTCTTTTCTTCTTTTGTTTTAGAAGCATGAGAAATTCCATTGCCTGGAGGCTGATAACCCATGCCCACAGTCATGTGCTTGACTGGTGGTGTAGATCTAACTTTAGAACCTCCAATGTGGGACCACCCTTTCTCCTATGAGTCAGTGATAAAGAGGTGATATCTTCTGATCTGAGCTGAAGATGAAGGTGGATTCTGGGTGCTGTGACTGGACATTCCCTCAGCAGTGACTGGGGTCACCCCAGTAGTGCTGTTTGAGAGGAAAGTGCTCTTGAGTAATTCAATCCTTGGGAGCTGTCTCCTCAGCAGTAACACAAAGCAGCTTGTGCATTTGCTGTCATTGTCACTTGTGTCAACTCACCTCAGATTGCATTGACATACTTATGAAATAACCTGAGAAAATTGATGCAACTGCTTTGTAAATAAGGCCTAAATTTGCAATGGGAATCTGAATATTTTTTTCTGGCCATACTGAATCGTATATTAGAACAGAACTTTAACAGGGTTTGAGTACAGTTGTGCAGCTTATGTACAGCAGACAATATTAAGTCAAAGAGTTTATTTGTTGTTGTTCTACAAGAAAGATGTTTCAGGTGGAATTTTCTGTATTATCAAAGCAGGAAATGCAGCTTAATGTCTCTTGTTCTTCATTTTACCCAAATGCCTTACACTGAAAATTGCATGAAGACTGTATTTCTTATATATTTCAATCACTGTCACTTCAGATTTTGTCAGAATCTAAGTCAAAAAGGATTATGGGTTATTCAGTTTTGGGATGGCTTATTTGAGTCATGTAAATGAAGCCTGATATTTAGAGATGGTGCCCAATAGCTTTTGTTTATGCGGTTATGAAAAACAAAATCACTAGTATTTTTAGAAATTAAGCTGGACCCTGTGACTGCATTGGTGCTCAGATCAAGAGGTCTCTGTCATAGCACCTTTTTCTCAGAAGTTTTGCGAGGCTTGTGAGCCAGACTCTGAAGACTTTTCCCCCTTTGCCTTATATTTGATGTTAAATATGAGCTGTCAAATAGCTGTAGAAACCCTGTGAGAGTTTGGAGAAATCATCGACTAGCTGTCTCAAATTACTGTGAGAGGCAAGTGATTCTGTGCCTGTGTCAAAATTGATCTGGGATCTCTGCGGTCAGTGGGCACCTCCAGCTCTCACAGCTGCCTCTCAGGAGGCTGCAGAGCCTATGCTGGTTCTGCTGCAAGCGCTCTGCTCCTCTGCCACCCCAGGCTCCCTGCTGCAAGTTTTGTGGCCCAGTTCAAGTGTCTGTATGTCTCCAGACCTCATATCACCATATAGCTAGTACTGCTGAGGACTTCTGTTGTTATAATGGTATTGGTGAAATACTATATTGTCTCCTGGCCCATGGCTTCCTGACTGACTCACCTGCACCATGGTTTGTGATGCACAAGATCTTATTATCATGTAATTATCATGTAGTCCAAGAGCTGGACTACGTCTGCTCTTGGATGGGAGAGCTGTTTAGCCAGATTTCTTTTTTCTCATTATGTGCAGAATAAGCATGTGTAGTGTAGTGATATAGTGGCTTCAGCAGTTAATATTGCTTAATTTAATTTATGGAAGCCATAAAAGGCCCAAATGTGGATATTGTGGAAAGAGTGCAAGTTGAGCAGGGAACATGCCATATTATCTAACTGGATGGCTAACTTTTGTTCTCAAGAGCTGAAGAGAATGCACTGTCATCAAATACGAAAAGACTTCAGAGCCTGAGTTAGGTGATGTGATGGTTATTGTTCCCAGTGTCTTGTAACCCTGTGAGCTGAATTGCTTGTTTCAAATTAGAGAGTGTTACTTCAAAAACATTATTGATATAATCAAAGGGAAATAGGTCTGTATTTTAATAAGACTGTTCCATAACTGTTCCACTTTCATTAGAAATGGTTGAAAAATCAGGTTTTTATATTTTTTATAATAAGTCTTGCTGCTTCTAAAAAGGGTTTTCAGTCTGACTTAGTGACTTGAGAATTCTAAAAAATAAGAAATGAGTTCTAAAAAATACTTATTTCAACTGCAATTTCTCACTACTGAATAACCACTGCTTTTAGTGATTTTTAATAATATTTAATGCAATAACTGGCTTCCTATTTTCATATTTTAGTAATAGTACTAGGTACTTTTGTTTTTATGTAGTGAGTACTCTTACAGAAAAAGAGTGGGAAATTATTCTGTAATTAAAAAGAAATCAGACTTGACAATTTTAACAAGGATGTTTAAATATTTCGGAAAAAAATTGTATGCTCTTATTTGTGTTAAAGCTTACATGAGTTTCTAACATAATGTAATTGAAGGCAGCACTGTTACTAAAAACATTTCAATAACAAAAGATCCTTCTGGCTCTGCTGAGCCCTTAACATCCCATATGTAACAGAAATGAGAGAAGAAAGCAACAAGCTGTTTTCTTTAGCTTTTTACCACTGACTGAGAGCCAACCTCCATGTTGTGGTTGAAATTTGTGGTGAACTTGGTGAAAACTCTTACAGTTGTGCATCTGATTGGAAAAGTTGGTGGGAGCTGGAATGCTGCTGTTTGAATGTCCACATTGCTCCATGGTGTTAAAGCACAGGTATAGATTTTAGGACTATAGAAAGTAACAGTAGATATCAATAATTGCAATGTTCTGTTAGGTCCTTTCTAGTTTGTGAGGGTTGCAACTACCCCAGGATATCCCTCTGTGTGTGGTTATTCAAACCTCATAGTAGTGGATAACTACTTTATTTTGGGATTAGGCTATGATAGAATGTTTGAACAATCTCCTTCTTTTCCCCAAATTAACGTGTTGTCAAAAAAAAAAAAGAAAGGCAAGTCTTTTTGTGGCACAGAACAAGTGCATCATTTCTGCTTTTGAAATCAGTGGGAGGTGGAGCCGTGACTCAATCTATACAGCTCTTCTTCCCGGCCACAGTTGGTTGGAAAATACTGTGATCCAGGAGCATCTATGCGTTGGGAGGCATACAGACTGGAGCATTAGTGTTACCTTCTATAAAGCAGAGAAAATGGGATCATCGGCCTATTCCCCTTTGGTAAGAGAAAATCAGCGGTGGGGCAGGAGGATCTGTTCGAGTGTCTTGGTTGAGATTCATGAAAAGCAAGTGCTTGGGGAATTTTGATCCTTAAACGTAAAATGCATCTACAGTGGGCAAATTTATTAGTAAAAGCAGCAGATAGATGGTCTTGGTGAGATGGAGATATATCCTATCATGAAGAGTAGAAATGGTAGGGCCCCCTGATACTGCCATGGTGTATCTGAGTAGAAACTGAAAATGACTGCTGGGTCTTATTACCGGTCCCTCTCTTGGCTCTTTGTCCCCAGGATCGATTCATCCGAGCAAACCCACACAGGAAGGTTGGGATCAGGAGGAGGAATCATGAAAGGCCATATAGCACTGAAGATGAGGTACTGTACAGCTGCACGGACAAAGCTGCAGGGTATAAAGGATGGCTGTGCTACCTGCAGTCTTCCATGAGCTGTTCCTGTCTCTCCCTAAGTTTAACTGTTGCTGTTGTGAGAGGGAATATTTGTTTCTTCTGTGAGTATGCTCTCTAGAGTGCAGAACATTTTCCGTGACTTACGGATTGGGAAGGCAATGAACTTGTGGTTTAAATGCTGGGCAAGGAACTGGGAGAGCTGGATTTTAGTCTTGGTTTATTGTGGCATCATTACATGATGGTAATCATATCTCGTAACACCCAAGGCTTAGTCTTTTAATTGTTTTTCCTTTACTTTATGGAGGCATATCAGTAGATAAAATGGATTATTCCAGTGTCTGCCACTTTTCTAAACACTAATTTTTATGAAGATGAACTGGTAAAAGGTGTTGGAAGGTGCTGAATATGGTACATACTGGATAAGTTAGAAATTGTTCTGTTTTCTGAGTAATGTCTGGATGAAAAGATATTAAATAACTTAAACAAAAAATAAAAATTGTATGATGTATTTTTTCTCTCCTGAGTTTCCTGAATCTGCTCCCCAGGTGCAAAAGTATGAGGCTAAATCTTTAATAGATCTGGGAGAACAGTGAATTCACTAACTGCTAGCACTATAGAATAATAATTAGGTTTATGTCTGCGTATTTGCTTAGTACTTAAGCCATCTCATGAATGAGTTTTCTCCAAACTCCTGGACATGGGTGGTACTATAGCTGAGAATGAAACATTAATCCTCTGTATTTGGGATGTAAAGTTGACCTTTCAGCAATTTGGATCATATACTCCTTTCATTCTCTGTCTCCAGAAACACTGCTGCCAAAAATTCTGCTGAAGCTTTAGTGATTCCTGCTTTCTTGAGTTCTAGTTTTCTAACAAACCCTGGTTTATATACATATATCAGTTCTCCATGCTGTGTTAATGTGGTTTCATTTTGAATAATGAAGACCCTAGCTATGAATAACAGGTTATCTTTACTCAGTGTCACACAGTGCCAAAAAAGAGAAAACAATACAGCTTCTTCAGTCTTATGTAATTTCAGATTTGCACTGAAATGCGAGAGCTGCCTTATAGGGAGCTGTCCTATGTGTGAACTGGAAGAAATCTCTGATTTCAGCCTACTTTGTGCTGGTATAACTGAAGAGTTTTGGAATCCTGTACTGGACTGTTCCACTTCTAGAACTATTCTTGCCCTCTTTTAGTCCTTTATTTCCTTTTAAGGGTCAGGTATTTTGGTATAGTGAAGAACGTTATGGTGTTACATACCCCATAGCCAGATTGCCAGTAGCAGTGATATCTTGACCAGGGCATTCTAATACGGAGGGTGTCTTGTCCTGTTCTGCAGAAATGTTACATGGCAGATGGACAGCAGTCCCTGCTGGAGGAATGAGGGCATCTCGTTGTCCCCAGGCTGGCACACTGGGCAGTGCTTTGCTGTAATCTAAGATGCTGAAATTTAAGCAGCGAACCCTGTAGTTTAAAAGTAGCTGGGCTTTAAATGGGCAATTATTGAATGACTTTTCAGATGAAAACTATCTTGTGATATTTCTTCCTACTCCTTGCATGAAAACTTAACCTCCAAAACCTAAATCTTTAGACAACTGAATCTTAAACATAACTGGAATCTGACATGATATAATGTCAAATAAAAAGGAAGTATTTCTTCTCAGAAAATGTCTCAAATAGTTAAAATGAAAGCATATTCACTACATTAGTGAGAGATTGGCCTTTGTGATGCTATGGAATAGGTTATGTTATCTATATCTGAGTTATTTGCTAATATTGCTAATAATTAAGGCTTTTTTTCATTGTTCTGCAGCTGGAAGTACCTCAGTTGTGCTGGCTTACTGTAACAATTAAAAGCATGAGAAATGTCCGCAAAGCAGATCTGTGTAAGTATCACTGATGGTCTGCTTATAGGTTAGCAAGAAAATGACTGCCATCTGATTTTAATGCTCTTGTGCACCTGTTGCTTGGATTACAATAATATCTATTTTTTTTGGCTGAAGAAGTTGTATCTGTTTTAATTTTCATTTAAACTCGAAATGATCTGGAAAACAGTTAACAACAGAAGCTAAATAGAATAGAAGTTCAGTGTTGGGAAAGTAGTTATCCTTCCCTTAACTGGTTGCTCTGTGATATTTCCCTTTCTCCTAACTCTTCAGTGCCCCTATCCTTGATTGGGAAAAAGAAATAATAACAAAGTACTGCTGTACTAATCAAGCAACTTTTTGTTAACACAGGGAGCCAAACTGATTGCTATGTCAAGCTGTGGCTGCCGACAGCTTCATGTCAGGAAGCCCGGACAAGAACTGTACGCAACTGCAGGAATCCTGTCTGGAACGAAACTTTCCACTTCGTGATACAAAGTGAAGTAAAGGTGGGATCTGTGGCTATGATAAGGAGCAGGTGCTTTCTAAAGGGGGCATCTTCACCTGCTGCGTGCAGACTCTTTATGAGAGTCTTGAGGCTCACACAGCTTGAACTCAGTTACACTGAAGAATAGGATGGTAACAGGAAAAATGAGTGTAAGCTCAGAAGGTTATGGAACATTTGAAATAAAGCTGAATGCTTCTTTCTGTCCCAGAGCAGTTGTAAAAAACTGCTAAAATGTTTGTAGAGTTAGCAGAAACAGATGAGCAGTCAGAGTGAAAGTGATACAAGGCCTAGAGAGAGGGTCAGCATCTTATGGTATAGTAGTGCTGCATCTTCTCATGCTCTTATGGGTATTCTGAGCCTTGAGGGACTGCAAGGGAAATCCCTACAATTGAAATCCAGTTAAAAGAATTTGTTCATGTGCTTTAACTTCTATTTGCAAAGGGCTAAGTTTTTTCCCTTTTTTATTACTTTTTGCTGAAATGTCAAAATTTCTCAAGGTGGTAACTGTGAATCCACAAAAGATCTGATAAACAGCATGTTCTGTCCAGTGCATGTTACCATCGTGCCTGTCACTTAATGCTGCCTGTCCTTTGACCTCTTGTTCATTGCCAGATCTGATGACTAGGTAGTCCCTGACTCTGCAGTCTGAGCCGCAGGGGCTGTGAGCTGAGCTCCACACTGTCTCAGGAATCTGTCCACGTTGAACAACATGAGGTTTGCAGGTTGGCTCTTACTAGAGCTTCCTTTTGGGCTCAGCAGTCCCAGAATATATATTTTACCTCCTTCTCTGCCTCTCTCCTCAGAACATCCTGGAGATGTCAGTCTGTGATGAGGATATTTTTACACCAGATGATCAGCTTATGACTGTTCGCTTTGATGTAGCTAAAATCCAACCTGGAGAAAAAATTCACTTGAATTTTGAGTTAAATACAGAGGTGAGTGGACAGATAAAATAATACTCTTGCTCAGAATTTTGTCCCATTAAAGTTGTTCTCACACAGAAAGACTTTGTTAAAAGGATATAAATAAAAAGTTAAAAACAGAGAGAGCAAAAAATGAAGAAGCTGATGATTAGGGATCTCATTGCTGTTGTAGGAGACTGACAGGGGTGGGAACAAACCTGACCCCTTTCCAGGCAGCTAGGGGGTATTTTCTCTCAGCTTCATTAGGAATTTTGTCCTACTCTTTCAGATAATGTGCTTGGTAATGAAGCATTTCATTCTAATGATAGCATCTTAGGTTTTTTTTCTCCTTCTGATAAACGACTTTAAGAAAAAAGTCTCAGCAACTCTGTTTATGCTCTTTTGCTGTAGGGTTAAAAATTTCTTTTAGAATGGCTGAGCCAGCACAGAATGGACAGGCCTTGATGAATGAGAATCTCATCTGTATTTTATTTTTTCTTCTAGGTCAGTGTCTGACCTAAGAGTTTTACTTGCTGCTTGTATCTCAAAGAATATTGTGTTTGATTGTATTAAACTGGAGATAAAGAGTATCTTATTAAATGTTATGTGGGTGAAGTTGCTAAGAGGACAGGTGGAGAAATCAAACTCATCTTTTAAGAGAGCAGAATACATACTCAGTTTACTTTCTGAAAATGTAGCATTTTCTCTATTTGGAGGGTGTGTAGTAGTGGAACTTCAGGGCTTTTTCATGCCTCTGACAAGGGCTTCAGTTTACAGTTCCTAGGAACTGGTGTGCTCCACTTATTTCTAAACCACTGTGTCAGGCTCTTTGGAAAATCCTCTTGCCTGCTTTTTGTATTACTATTGCTTTGAAGAGTGTTTATTAACTACTCTTCTAGAAGGCCAGTCCTTACTAAGGATTGCTTAAGAAACCTGTTCCAGCTGGCTACAGCCTTCCTTAGAAAAAGCCTCATGTGACTGATATTGTTTGAGGTGTGATTCAAGCCGTGAGTTTGCTCTGAGGCATGTGCTGGGTTGTCTTAACCCACTGGTTTAGCAAGGTGGAAGTAGGGGAGGTCAGACAAAGTGAGCTGTGTCTCAGGAATGTCTTGGTCAAGCTGTCCTTCTTTGAATCACGATGAATCGATGCCTATGAGGCATCACAGGTTATGGTCTGTACATGGAGTTTTGGAAGACTTAGGATTATTTTTTTTTAAAGTGACTTAGTAATGGAACAGGCTGGGCAACCTTAATAATAGGTTGTACTGACACCTCTGCCCATAATGATTTCTTTCATCTATCAACGTATCCTAGAAGAAGGGCTGAGGAGGTCAGATGGGTAATGTCAGAACAGCAGGATTGCTTTGCTGTGCCTCTTGCTCACTGTGACCTAACAAGTCTTTGCATTTTTATGCTCTGGGTTTTTCACCCACAAAAACGTGACTGGGACTTAATAGAAATATAATTTGTATGAGTGTGTGTAAAACATCATAATAAGAGTGGGAACATAAGGAAAGCACTATTAGGCAAGTATTCTGAGCCATGGTCTTCTGAACCTTGTTTCTGCTGTTCTTTGGACAAGGTTGAAACAGACTGTCATTGAGTTTGGATAGTACAGACTGGTCACAATCTGATACTTTATACAGTCTTTCTTGCATCTGTGCAAGGTGACTGCTTTCTAAAATCTGTGTCCCAGCCTTCTATTACAGATTTTTGCAAACAATCTAATTCTCATGAAACTTTGGGAGAAATTAGCAAGCACAATCATCTGCTGCTGGGTTACATACCACAGATCCAGCCCTCAGAGGAGCCATCAGAGATGTCTCCTTCACTGATGTGAACTAGTAAATACAAATTTACTCTTCACCTTTACTGTAGTGATGATTTTACCATGGCAGCTGCATTATCACACTTGCCTTCGTTTTCACAGTAATTTCACAAAGTTAAAGTATGTGTGCAGCCAGACAAAAGCAATATTTTGCAGTAAATGTTAGTTGTTCTGAATATGAATGAAAAAATGTTGCCATCACTTGTCATAAAGAGATTTATATCTTCCAATAATTAATGTTTTCCTCCCTGTGGGTGATATAGAAGATCTCTCTGATACATGTTTTTTGTGTGATATTTCCTGGATTGGCAGTATCCCATACAGCAAGCAGCAAATGGCTGGAGTCAAGTAATACAGTTATTCAATCCTTCTTGTGTTGTTGATGTGTTACTCTCTCTGTTGCTATTCTTGTTCTTATATTTTTCCCTCTCTTTACTCTTGATTTGTCTCTCATGAGTTCTTTCCCTGATTCCCCTTCACAGCTCCAGTCATCTCTCTTCTTCCCTTCACCCTGGTGGTTTTTAGTTTCCAACTTGGTCCCTTCTCCCACCTTTTTTTTAATATTTAATCACTATACTCTGCAAATTATTTTGTTTTAACCAAGACACACTGCTCATTTATTCACCATACTAGATCCATTCATTCTTAAGTATGTTCTACATTATTCACCTCTTATACCTCCCTTTCTTGGCATTGACTGACTCATGCCTTATCCTACTAATAAATGCATAATGGGACCTTCACTCCCTATTCCGTGATACTTAATTCTCTTCCTTTTGTGGGGAGAGCTGGTTGGTAAACAGTAGAGCAGTGGGGAGACTTGAAATGAAAGGGTGGCCACAGAAGACTCCATCCACTTACATTATGATGTAGAGAGAGTGGGAATAAAAAAACTTTGCAAGAGAAGGTTATAAAAATTCATCAGAGCCCTATCAAAGGAAAATATTTTTTCATTCATTTTCTTTAAATTAAAAATAAATCTTATTTTCAGAACCAGGAAGAACTAGAAGTGGAATTTCTACTGGAAAACATGTGAGTAAAGCCTAAATGTTACAGAATTTGTCATCAGAAAACTGCATTTTTAGAGAGTGGTAATGCAGCACTGGGAAAATTGCCCCACATACTGGTGCTCAGAGATCGTATTTCAACATCTTCCCATGGTTGCTTTTCTCTCCTGAATTTGGTGAAATCCTTCCTTGAGTGATAGTCTCATTTATTATTTATAGCTGAGAGAGAGTGTTTATTTTGTAATTCAGCCTAAGGAGAGATGATACTGCTCAGGAGAGGTAAGAAAGAATGAGTGTCCCTGGGAGGTATGGGACTGTGACCTGACAGTGACCACGAGAAAGAGGGGAAAGATAGAAGTGCTGATGGTACTTGCTAACTAGAAAAACTGAGCTCAGAGAACTATTTGCTTTTAAAAGCTTATTTTTTATATACCCACTTTTAAATAAACCTTTTCGGTTTTGCTTTTCAGCCCAGGTGTATCTGAGAAGATCATTACTAATGGCGTACTAGTGGTAATTTTTTTTATTCTAATGGTCTTATGATATGGCAGAACTAAAGGATGTGGTTGGAATAGCTATGCCTTTAGGCATAGCCTTTATTCTGTTTCAGATGAGACACAGGTGTGGTTGTGAAGTTTTGAATTTGTTTGGGGCTGTAGTGCGTTCTGTGTTGGGAGAGACTTGGACCAGCACTCTGCCACAATGCCAGTGAGGTGCTCAGTGTTGACATGGCAGTAAACAAGGAAAATTGGTAAGGGAGTGAACCAATGTGACTGCAAGGTTGACTACTGAATGTCTACCCTGGAGTCAAAGATTCTATTCATACCATGTCCAAGTGTGTGTTGCTCCTTTGCTGCTACTTCCTCTTATGCAGCAGCGTCTTGGGAAGTTTCACCTTCATCTGAAAAGTATTAAAGTATAGGCCCATCAGTCCAGTTGTTCTGCAGAGCTGTAGGTATCCTTCAGCTCACTCTTCTGTAGATAAAATTTAAAGCATGGCCTAGCTAGGGAGAAAAATTTCTTGTGTTAACTGTTGGGAATTGAATGGTATTTAAATGTAGTGGGACAGATCTCTTATTATATTGGCTCCCTTGACAACAGTACTGCTTGCAATATTTTTACAAGATAATCTGCTTCTACAATGTCTTTATGTCTATAGACTATCATGACTCATGGCTGAGTGCAGTGTTTCTGTAGGATCCCTAGGTCCTCAGTGAGAATCCTGAACTCTTTCTGTGACCAGTGATTTTATTGCTTATCTTTTCCAGTCTCGCGAAGTTTCCTGTTTGGAAGTACATGTGAATGAAACAAAAATGAAGAACTCTTACACAGGTGAGGTTACTGATTTAAATTGTTTGTCACTGCTTTTTATGCTATGGGAAATGCAGCTGAATCTAGATAAATACTTGATCTGTTTTAGTCTCTTTTGCATCAGAGCTGCTTGGGGATTGAGGTGTTTCCTGAATTACCTAGTTGCTAATAGTGAGAATCCTCTGAAGATGGCATAACTGTGTAGCTTAAGGGAAACTGCGAAGGTTCTCCCAAGGCTGGGAGACTTGGAAACATCACTGCAGTGTGATGGAACTGAAATATTGTGGTGAGAACAGAAAGCAGAATAAGGGAGACACAATTCTCAGGAGGGCAAAGACTACAGTGGAAACTCAGGCAGTGTGAATGCTGCTAGTGGTGTCCACTGGTCTAACATATGCTCTCTGTCACTTGGCAGGGTGTCAAAAATGAATGGTTTAGATTGCTTAAAGAATCACTGGCAAAGGTATCAGCTAAAGCAGGTTTAATATAAATTTGCGAAAGTGCAAGAAAACTTGATTGCAAGGTTCACTCTATTACTACATACATGAAACACACAAAGGAAAATCAGATTAGAATCAGTCTAAAATTATTTACGTGGAAACTGGGGATGCAAAAGGCTAAAGATGGAAAAGGGTAAGGATGCCAAGGAGTGAGGGAGACCCTTCCATTGAGTCGTGAGGTTCAGAGTGGACCTCCTTGCCAAACTTAGTCTCAGACTTGATCACAGCTTATCCCTAAAGGATTTAGTGGCACTTAATCATTGTCTAATTTAACATTTACAAAATGATTCAATAGCATTTGCTGTAAGCACTAAAGTAAGTAATTTAATTATGAGTGTAAGATGGTAACATTCATACTGCACCTGCTGTGGGGTATTTAAATCAATTCACACATGCATGCACACAAATAAGTATGGACAAAGGTACCTGTTAAAAATTCTCCTGGAGGTCAGTGAAATACTTATGGTCAGATGCCTTTGCATCTCTCAGTGGGTGAAAGATTGAGCCTAGAGGACAGATCGGCCTAGACCCTATTGCCAGCTTTTGGGATCAGTCCTCTAAGTATCACTAACTTGAGAGCTGGAGAAGGCATCCTGCTTAGATGGGGATGCTGGTGCAGCCTGCTGCAGTTCAGGTGAGTTCAAAAGGCCTCACTTAGGACTGCTGTTTATAAGGTCTCAAGGTGATTGGCTTCAGCCATCATTCAATTTCCATCCTGGCTGCCATGTGTGTCAGTAGTTAGCAGAGTTTTCCTTGAAAAGTCCAGTAACAATAATATTCTTCCACCTGGGCTGTGATTCAGACAAAGTTAAGGTTCCAAGGCTGCTTATTAGACAACAGCAGTTTGTTAGGTGACAGAAGTTTGTGGGAACAGACAGTGTTTCTGATTAGCTCAAGGGGAGCTTAACTGCCCAAGAGCATCAAGGCTGAGAATTCCTGAGATAGTAGCGAGGCTCCAGGAAGAGGGAGTAAGGGCAGGGGATGCATAGGGGAGAAGCTGCCTATGCACTGTGTGGTGCAATGCTGCACCAGCCTTCTGCTTTATCAGTCTGGCCCTTGTGCACACTGGTTAGGGGGGAGGAAAAACATTGCATATCAAGACTGAAACTTTACTTGAGGCATTTTTATTTCTTATTTTTCAGGGCTAGTTAACATCTCTCTGTGGTTTGCTTCTTGTTCTTAGGCAGAGATTTCACGTTCACAATGAAAGGATCCTATGAAGAAACCCAGGATGTTTCCATAGGTCCTCACTCCAGACGGGGAAGCAGTGAAACCACTAGGTTCCACTATATCAAGCACAGTCAACCCAGACTGCTCATGACACTGCCAAAGGAGCATGTTTTCTGTTGTGTATGTTTTGCTTGTGGATGGTGATAACACTTAAAGTAACTTCTGGGAGAAGCATCATGAGTTAACCCTTCTCTGGTATTTTTGTACCTATGGTTTATAAATAATTTTCTCCTTATAACATTTCCCCCCCTATTTATTTCAGCATGGCTCAGCTAGAAGGGGAATAGGTGTAACTAGTCCCCTGGCTGTGCCTCTCCATTCCCTGGACTTGGGAAAGAAAGTGACAGTCATGAGAGTGAGTATCCTTTGACAGCATTTGGAATTCTTTCAACAAGTGTAAACTATATGTGTAATATCTGGTCGGGTATTAATTTTTTTATTAAAAATATACTAGCTGAATTATATGTATGTTCAGCTCTGCATACACTTGGAAATACAACTGTTATTTGAAGAAAAAATAGAATAGTCAGAATTACTGATTGCTTTAAAAGTATTTTAAAAGCAGGATCCTAGTGATGATTGTGTGCTGAAGACCTAAGAAGATATATCATTAAACTATATATTTGAATAATTACTAATACTGTAAAACTTGCTTTTGAAAAATTTCAGTTCTATGAAATATTTATGGTGTTTTCATTCTTGATTTTTAGGGGGAATCTTATGAAGTGTCTGTGAATGAGGAAAATGGGTATATCTTTTATTTCTTTTGAATGATTACTTAGGCCATCTCCTATCCTTTCATAATATCATTTTTAGATGAAAGGAAGCTACAGGTGGGTTCAATCCCTTAGTGGGCTGTTCAGTTAAGATGATCCTTGTGGGTCCCTTCCAAGTTAGAATATTCTGTGAGATTCCTGGTCTTCAAGTAGCTCATTTCAAAACTAAGAATAAAGATAGTAATTGGTTAAAGATGGGGGAAGGGTTAATAAGATGATGCAAGCTTTTGAATTGGTTGGTAAGCGCTTAGAATAGAACAGGTGGTAGCTACTCATGGGGTATAACCAGTCACAATGTTTTTCCTAATGTTGGTGCTTTGTAATTTTGATACTTAAGAATCCCTGTCTTATAACCTTTACCTATAATAGATACACCTTTATGTGTAACACATTTCTGACACGTTTCAATGAAACACATAGACACTAAATTTATTGACTGACTTGCAGACATTTTCTGAAGGGCAACATTACCCCCTACTGATGAGTTAGCTACATTGCAAGCCTTAGTTGCAGGTGGATGATAAACAAGAGATTTCTACTGAATTCAGAGAAGAGGCAAAATAATCTTTTGGTTGAAAAAAAACCCTGAAACAGTAGCCCTGTGAAAATATAAGTTATGGAATTAATGAAGATGCACATGATATTTATAATAATGTACACACTTAATTAAGTGTGATAATAAGACACACACTTAAAAGACATCTTCTGACTGAAGTAGTTGCAGCACAAGTTTTTTGTAGAGATAAGCCTAACTTGATATTAGGGTCCTTTTGCCTGAAGTATGTTAAGTTTAAATAACTGCTTACACTCTCTGTGTGCTTCAGGAAACATATACAGAGCAAGAGAATGTGAAGAGGTGTCCAGATATCAGAGCTCAATGTGAAACAGCTTGAATTCAGTTAAATTCTTTGGTTTTAATAAGCAGATAATTTTATTTATTTAATTTCCTTATGATTGTGTGAAATAGTTCAGGACATAATTTTGGCCTAAAATCTCCACAGGAAGGCAGAAATAGAGTGTCTGTGACATCTATATACCTTCCTTCATTTGTGCAGGAGAACCTTCATGTACAGGGAAGGATCCTTTCTTTAAACTGGTTTATTGTTATTGCTTTAGAAAAGCCCTACAGGTAATGTCTTGTACTGCTCTTATGCTCTAGTTGCAAAAATTTAGATGTGCGGTTGGGGTTTGATCTGTGTGCAGAAGAGCGGGATTTCATCTGTAAAAGGAAGAAAGTGGTTGCTGCTGCTCTGAAAAATGTTCTTCATCTAGATGAAGACCTGCAGGAAGATGAGGTATGTGGGACAACATCTTGGGAACCTGAAGCATTATGATCCACTTTGAAAGAAGTGGATATGATGTACTTGCATGAGTACCCATATAGCTTTTCCACGTATTTTAGACTACATTATATAGGCCAAATTGTCATTTGCACATATAACCATATCCAAGAATTTTTGACACAGTATGAAAGAGGAACTGTCAGGAGGCTGATTATAGCTCCTTTATTCTCTGCCAACCTCCATCCTCACTCAGGGGCACCCAAAGACCATATTTCTTGACATAAAGGTATGTATAACCAAGGTTGGGGAAATTTGATTGCTCAGACTGAGACCATTTCTCCTGTTCGGTACTTTTCTCTGCTGCTATATAAGGCTTATAGAGGAAGGCTGCAACTCTCCTGTAGCACATTGACATGGTAGCATCTGTCTTATGTGTTTTTCACTGTTACCTCTTGCTTCCTCCTCTCCTGGGGATCCCTGAACTCAGAGGTAGCTGCTGTGTTACTGGAGGACAGTAATCTGCTATGGGGCTGTGGTGCTTGAGCAGGAGTCCGAGAGAATGTGCCTGTGTGGTATTTCTTCCATTGCTCTGTTTGGGTCCCAGCACATCCAAGCTTTGATTCTATATGCAGGACAGCATTTGTCAATCAAGTCAAAGTGCTCATGAACTTAAATAACAAGTAGAATAGAACTTGCTATTATTAAATCAGAATAAAGAGCTATTGAGTCATATTAATTAAAAAACAAACAAACAAACCAGAACCCCCAGGCAGATGGCAAAATACAATGAACACAAGACTAAAGGTAGTGGCATTATATGATCCTAAAACTGAATATTTGTTGTCTCAGTTTTTGATAAGTGCTACCTATGGGGAAAAGGGAGGGTGTCTAACAGAATTGCTGCATCCTTGAGGAAAGTACAATACACATGGCATTAGTATCGGGGAAGGTGGAGGTAATTTGGGTTAGAAAGATGGTGTTAGATCTATAAAGCTTTGCACCATCTGCCTGGAGAATAACAATGTTGCAGAGGAAGAAAAAAATATGCATGCTGCTTTTGCTCTGCTTCTCTGACCTCAGTTTTTAAAACCTCACATTTTAAAATGTGTTTTGAGGCAAAAAGGTGAGGAAAAATTAAAAACATTGAGAAAATCTGAAAATAGATTATGCCATACAAGAACCATACTTAGAGTTTCTGACTCACCAAAGCATCACTGATCAGGAAAATGCTTTCAGCATACACTAAGTCCCACCAAAGTTTACATAACTCAAATACACGCCTAGGCACTACCATGAAGAGGGTGAATTAAATTAAAACCTACCTGAATCAGGTGTTGCTGTTACTTTTTCTGCACAGCCATTACTTCTCTACTTCATCTGGTGATGATCACCTCTTTGTGTGTTGAGCAGGTGCCAGTGGTGGCAGTTGTGACCTCAGCAGGGGGAGTGCGATCCATGACAGCTATGTTTGGCAGTCTTCTGGCTCTCCAGGAGTTAGGTGTTTTGGATTGTATCTCATACATCAGTGGTTTATCTGCCACAACATGGTAAGGAAAGTTGGGCTTGTGCTTGCCATTTGTGTTAGCAAAGTGATAACCTGGTGGAACATTTGCCTTGCTGATGAATTTACGCAGCACAATGCTTGGCTTCCTTTTGGCACTCATTTCCTGGGACTACTTAGTAGTGCTGTAGCCCTTATTTCTTCTAGTTACAAGAAACAAATTGAATGAAAACTACAGTATTTCTATAATTGCACTGAAGTGTTTACAGAAACTAAAAGAAAAAAGCACAAAGCCAGGGTGGTTTACCTGTAACTGTTTTATCTAGTTGCACCAAATCTTCGTTCGCGAAGCCTAACCATGATGAGTTGCACGTTACACTTCAGAAATCCTCCTGTAGTATTTGTCAACTCCTACACATCTCTGAAAAGTAGACTTTAAAAGAAAAGCCCTGAGAAATATGGAATGTGGTGAATCACCAGAACGCTCAGTGCTGACTGCCTTGCACAACTAGGGGGGTTGAGGGATTTAGAAACATTTTGCCTCTGGAGGGCTGTTCTAAAAAGATACATGAGGCAGAACTAGAACAAGTGGTGTGGAGATGAGAGGGGATGACTGGAATCTGCCTGAGCTCTGCGAACTGACAGCTCAAGTCTGGCCCTAAGTATGCCAAGAGTCTGAGGTGACCCACCTGCTGCATGCCCAAGGAGGGGGTTCTCACACTTGGCCAGGGCAATATTCACTGCCGAACTCCAGCTTAATGTTTCACACAGCATCTGATGCAGCTGAGGGAGCCGGCCTCAGACAGAAGCTGTGGCTTGAACCTTGGTAATGAAAGGCTAAATCTAGTAAAAGCTTGTGTTAAGTTATTAGTGTTGCTTTATTACCCTTATGATTCTGATTAAGAAACAAGCTAGGATGATTTTGAATGTATCTGTGCAGCAAAAAGAAATCATTATATGGTCTAAATTCTGCCTGAGCTTTGAACTGCTCTTCTAAGGTAAAAGTTGGAGAGCCAGAGCCCTGTCTAGCCTGAAAAAAACCCAACTCTGTGTGTAATAAGCCCAATGAATTGTCATGTACCCTGTCACGACCCACAGTATCTTTCTTCTATCCAGGACCATGTCAAAGTTATATGAAGATGCAAATTGGTCACAGAAGGATCTCAGAGGGCCAATTAGTGATATCAGGAAACATGTGACCAAGAACAAGCTGCACTGTTTCTCATTGGATGATATGAAATACTATGAAAATGAGCTTTGTGAGAGAAAGCAAGAGGGGCATAAGCTGTCCTTTACAGATTTATGGGGACTCTTCATTAATCGTATGCTACATCATCAGGTATTTTATATTATATATATATATATATATATATATATAT